ACATTAGATGCCTGGATGTATATGCACAGCCATAATAAATCAAATGATAAGTAAAGGAAGACACAGTGCTGTGCTCAAAAGGGCCCAGATACGAGATTCCTTCAGTATGTGGTTGACATGACAACATGGTATCTTAAACATATTATAATGTATTCTGAACTTTGGATTATCATTCCTTAGACTTCTATGGGCCTTTACAGACTGCCAGAAATAATGCAGCTTGAGGCCACTTTAGCTGTCTTGGTTTAGTGCTAAGGAATCGTGGGAACTGTAGATTATTGTGGCACCAGAGTGCTCTGATGGAGAAGCCTCAATGTTCCAGAAAAAAATACAATTCCCATGATTCCCTAGCACTGAGCCAGAACAGTTAAAGTGGCCTCAAGCTACATTATTTCTGGCAGTCTGTAAAGGTCCTAAATGTTTAAAAGTTTAGGCATCCAATAGAATGTTAAGTTTGGATTTCTTTGTTTGATGTAGCATAAAATAGACAGCATGGCCTCAGCAAGGGGTCCGATGATCTGAATGATAATTCTGTCGGGACTGCCGGCATAATAAATCTGTGTTTTTAAACTATTTTGAGGTCCCCTGCTTGCTTCAACTCTGCCTAAAGAATCCTGGTTGCTGTGAGTTAATTTGCTTACAGTTTGTTTTTTTCCACTACAGTAGTCCATAAAATAATTGCTCAAAGCCCACCTCTCTCTCCATCTATTTATAAATACATATATGCAGCTTCAGTCACAATTGTGGTCAGGCAATTTGGAGTTAGAAGAAGAATAAAATCAGAAAAAGTGGAATCTTCCTTAAGAAAATCAGAAAATTACCTACCTTTTTAAGCCACATATTTAGAATCAGGACTCTTCTGTACAGGAAGAGAAAAAAAGAAAAGCACATTTTAAAAACTGACAGCTAGTTATGCAGATTAACATAGTTGTCTTTTTCAGAAATTGTATTTCCCAACTCACTAGGAGTATCAGTTTGTGGATTGCAGCTGCAGATAAATAAGGATATATACCAGGGGTAGGCAACCTTTTTGAGCCATGGGCCGGGTTGCTGTCCCTCAGACAACTGGGGGGCCGAAGCATCAAAAATAAATGAATAAATAAATTAAAAAAAAATTTAAAAAAATTAAAAAATGAAAAAATAATAAAAAATATGCATGCACACTCTCTCAGCCCCAGAAAAGCCATGGCAAAACCCCTGTGGAGATTTTGCCAAGAAAACCCCAAGAACAAGTAATAACAGCAATAATCAATATCATCATGGAGGGGAGCGGCAGCGGCGGGCGGTGGTGGCAGCAGTGGCAGGAACGGCCTGGGGCCGGTCCAAAGGCCTCAGAGGGCCGCATCCGGCCCCCGGGCCTTAGGTTGCCTACCCCTGATATACACCATGGTCCAGGTGCAAGTGATATTTCTCTTTCCCTGAAGCCCAAGTGGTTTTCCTGGGCTCTGGAATAGAGTGGGGAGGCCAGCCAATCAGAAACCCTGGTTTACTGTCAGGGGAAGTGAAAGTTTTGGGTTTCCATTGGCCATCAGGCAGGTTAATTGATGCCTGGAACTGGACCCATGCTGTGGACCAAGGCTGCATTTACACTGCAGCATGACTGTAATTTGACACCACTTTAACTGTCATGGCTTGTTGCTATGGAATTCTGTGATTTTAATTTTGTGAAATATTAGCCTTCTCTGTCAGAGAGCTCTGGTGCCACAACAAACTACAAATCCCAGGATTCCATGGGATGGAGCCATGACATGCATTCATTCTGTAGTGTGGCAGCCACACAGCTGTAACCGATATTGGCCTTTTCCATTCCAACAAAATATGGTCTGTGCTCCTTCGTGCTAAATATGAAACCGCAACTCACTTCTGTATCTGCAAATGCAAAAGCAGAAGAATCTTTTGTAAGCATGGTTGGTGAACATAAAGCATACATCATATAATACAGGCTTCAAATACTGCTTGCAATCCTCTGAAAATCTATAGCACTACTTTTTAATGGTTCTAGCATACTGGATTCATGAGGAGTGGGAACTGATGAACCAGACATATATTGGGGCAGAGGGAAAGGAAGGAGGGGGAAAAGAGACAAAGAAATCAAAATTACTGGGGATACCATGATATTCTTCATCACCATATACAAATGGGAGAGCCAGAGAATGAAGGCTGACAGAGGGAGAATCAACTCCTTTGAGATGTACTGGAGAAGAGTGCTGAGGATACTACGGACAGCCAAAAAGACAAATAAATGGGTCCTTGAACAGATCAGGCCTGAAGTCGCTCTGGAAGCCAAGGTGATTAAATTAAGGCTGTCATACTTTGGTCACATCATGAGAAGGAATGAATCATTAGAGAAGACAATGATGCTAGGAGAGGTAGAAGGCAGTAGAAAGAGAAGAAAACCACATACCAGATAGTTAGACTCAATCAAGTCATGGGCCTGAACCTGCAGGGGCTGGACAGAGTGCTTGAAGAGAGAGGGACATGGAGGTGTCTCATCCACAGGGTTGCCATTAGTTGAGGTCAACTTGAAGGCAGTTAAACTATAGAGGAGGCGGAAGTTCAGATTTATTTTTGGACTACAGTGCATCTGGGAGTTACAGTATAAAATACAAACTTTTCCTAAGCTGTGGGAGCTTTCTGTGACTTTCTCAAGCCACACAGAAGTGTAACTGTGGGATCCATCTTTAAAGCACAGCTTTAAATAGATAATTGTCTATTTAAATCAAGAGCTGGAATCTTTCTTCAAAGTGCTAATAGCCCTAGCCAGCATGACGGTGAGAAATATTAGGAATCACTGTCCAACAACATCTAACAAGTTGCATGACTCCTACCCAGAGTCTAGAACATGAATCAGTGTGTTCAAATGACAAGAAAAGAGATTCCTCCCAAAGATTAGAAAGAATTTCCTGTCGGTAAGACATGCTCAACAGTGGAACAGAGTTCCTTGGAGGGTGATGGACTCCTTTGGAGGTATTTAAACAGAGGCTGGATAGCCATCTCTCAGAAGTGTTGTAGTTGTGTATTCCTATACAGCAGAGGTTTGACTAGATGACCCTTGCAGTCCTTTCTAACTCTGTGATGGTAATATTCTTGTTGTGTGTCTTCAAGTCATTTCTGTCATGGCAACCCTAAGGCAAACATATCACAGGGTTTTCTGTGGCTGAGAGTGTGTGACTTACCCACTTAGGGAGCCCTAGTGATGCAGTAGCTAAATGCTGATACCACAGCCACTCATGGCCACAAGGTTGTGAGTTTGATCCCAAGCAGGGCTCCAGGGTCCACTCAGCCTTCCATCCTTTCGTAGGTTGGTAAAATGAGTACCAGCTTGTTGGAGGAAATTGCAATTTACACATTGTAAACAACTTAGGAAGTGTTAGTTCACTGATAAGTGGTAAAGAAATGTACTTGCTATTGCTATTACCCAAGGTTACTCAGTGCTTTTCCATTGTGGAGCCTGAGATCCAGAGTCATAGTACTATGTTCAGATCACTACACCTCACTGGTTCAGTGACTTTCAATAATTTATTTATACCCTGCCTTTTACCGTGGCAATCTAGGCAGCTTCCAGCTAAAAAAGATTCTATTATTCTACCTTTAATGAACATATCTGAGGAAACATAACAGGTGATGTCCCTGCCTCCATTATTCAGAATCAACTTGGTATTTATCAGCTTGTATTACAATGGTATGGGAAAAGCTTGTGTGTTGTTGTTGGATGGGGGACAAAAACTATAAAGGCATCAATGGGCCAAAACACATTGAAGACATAATCCAGTTTGAGACTGCTTTAACTGGCCTGGTTCAATGCTAGGGCATTCTGGGATCTGTAGTTTTGACAGAAATGACTTGAAGACACACAACAAGAATATTATAATTTAGCCTTTGCTGTCAGAGAGTTCTGGTGGCACAACAAACTATAATTCTGGATTCCCTATCACTGAGCCAGGGCAGTTAAAGCAGTCTCAGACTGGATTATTTCTGCAGTGTGTTTTTGACCCATGTTATCTAAATTAGAAGATTTGCTTCAAATTTTATTTGTAGCAATACCATATACCAACTAAATTTCAGAAAAATTTATTGGATTCTAATAATCAGTGGATATAAATCAGCTCTGTAGCAATCTTCTAAAAAAGGGTGATCTAGCGGTACCCAACCTGAAACTATGCTACAAAATATACCATATAGTGAGGATTATGATTAAGGTCAATTGGAAAATGGTGACATCTCTATTGAATGATTAAGGGTTTAGCAAGCTTGGGGATCATGCATAAAAATCTACAAATGCTTGAAAATCTGACCATTTTTGCATAATATGTGGAAGTTATGTAGCAAAACAAACAAAACAAAAAAACCCAAAACAACAGCTCCCTTGAGTCTACTTTTTTTTTATGTCCACTTATTTTTTAATATAAATACTTTTGCAAGATAATGTTAGAATATGAGAAGAGGAAAAACATGGGTAGAGTAAGAGCACTACTTATATTGTGAGGTTGCCCCAAAAATAAGACCTCAGCTGAAGGAACAACTTGCTCCACTCAAGGCCTCCTGGATGAAAATGCACAACATGGTTCCTTTTACTGCTTTTATTTTGCAGAAGGCGCAGGGTATTTGAAGGGAACTTTGAAGGACTGCTCTTAAATTCAGAAAATGATAAGAAAAAGATTTCCAAATTCTACTTTCTTCTGGATTGGGGGTCACTTAAGGGGCTAGGGCATACTTTAGAGAAGATTCTGGGAAGTGAAGTTGAGGAAAGTTCTAGAATTCACCTTTTAGACTGATCTCCACTATCATTCATGAATATTACTTAAAGACAATTTGTAAAAATAATCTTTGTTGCTGTTGTTGTGTACCCCCAAGTTGATTCCAACTTATGGCTACCCTATCATAAGAGGTTTTCTTTTCTTTCTTTCTTTTTGTAAGAATTGTTCAGAGGGGTTTTTGCCTTTGACTTTCTCTGAGGCTGAGAGAGTGTCACTTACTCAAGGTCATCCAATGGATTTCCATGGCTGAGCAGGGATTCAAACCCTGGTCTCCAGGGTCCTAGTTTAATGTGCAAACCATTACACCATGCTGACTCTCTAAAGGAAACTTTACTCTAATTCAGTTAAAATCTCTTAATAAAATCTGCACAATCACTGCTATTAAGGATGTAAAATGTTTGCTATTAAGGATGTACCCTTGATGGTTTTGCCCAAGAGTTGGAAAATTTAGGGTGTGAGTTTTTGAGACTATTAGAACAATTACTGGAAGCTACTCCAATAATTGGCTCATTATCTTTATTCATTAATGGCCTAAAACTGTTTCACAAAAACCTTATCATCTTTATATGTACTAAGGCATGTTTAGGGATTGCGTTGAAATGGAAAGATCTCCATTATCTAATACTCATGTATAAATCTAGAAAATTAGTTTAAAAAAATGAACCCAAAAAACCTGAGTTGACTTATCCATGGGTCAATGTAAGAACTGTACTTTAACTCTTTTAAAGAAGGAGCCACCTCTTGATGAAAGGCAAGAGTATAATCTGCCCTGGAAGCACTGGCCCCTCTCTATTTTCTAATTTCTAGTGCCCTGGAAGCACTGGCCCTTCTATACTGGCCTTTGGGGTGAGCACAGTTATGCCTCCTTGAATTTTTGAGTTTTTCTTTGCTTCATCCTTTACTTCCTTTGTTACATGCCCCTGAGTTTTACCCTTGACTTATCTATAGGTCATATCAAAATCCATAATTTTGACCCCAAAACCTGATTTCGACATATATATGACATCGACTTATAGACGAGTATATACGGTAGTCTATGCCCCTGGAATTTGATACTCATGGAACAACTGATTGCTCAAATAAAGTCACAGACAAACACTGACACAAATAACAATTTTATGGTATTTTGCTATCATTTATTGATTATGCTAACAGAGATACAGAAATTGTTTGGCTGCCTAACCTTCATGTTAACTTGCTTAGTGATTTGTTTTCTGACCCAATTTAACATGGATTTTCCCTTTTCATTTGCACTGTTTTCTCATCTTCATTCTTTGTTGTTGCTGCTTCTGCTTTCCTAGAGATTTATTCTGTTGTTCATTTTGTTTCTATTTCACTGTATAATTTTCATAGTCATAAATAATTAACTATTAAACTATTTATTTAGAAAAGAACATTTTAAAAAACCCCACATAGTGTGTACAGAAAACAATCAAGATAATAAGTTGATGGAAATACAGTGGATATTCACTAACTAATAGGTGTGTTATTTGGATGGTCCACTAGGCAGCAACATGGCCAGAGGAGGATGACCAAAATGGTAAAAAGTGTGGAAACCATGCCCTATGAAGAGCGGCTTAGGGAGCCAGGTGTGTTAAGCCTGGAGAAGATAAAGGCGTGATATGATAGCCACGTTTACATATTTGAAAGGATGTCATAAGGAAGAAGGAGCAAGCTTGTTTTCTGCTGCTATAGAGATTAGGAAACAGGGCAATGGATTCAAGCCAAAGGAAAAGAGATTCCACCTAAACATTAGGAAGATCTTCCTGGTGGTAAAAGCTTTTTTGACAGTGGAAAATGCTACCTCAGAGAGTGGTGGAGTCTCCTTCTTTGGAGGTCTTTAAAAATGGGCTGGGTGGCCATTTGTTGGAGGTGCTTTGATTGTGTGTCCTGCATGGCAGGGGGTGGACTGAATGACCCTTGGTCTCTTCCAGCTTTATGATTCTATGTACTCATGACAATCAAGGAAAGTTTCACCAATAATAAAGAGACACACAAAAGAACACAGTGAACATAAGACCACAGGAATCTGCCTTATACAGAGCCAGGGTAGTGGTCTATCTATCCCACTGTTGTCAGTTCTGATTAGAAGCAGCTCTTTAGGATTTCAGACAGGATTTTTTTCCTAACCCTCCCTGGTACTGCAAGCTGGTGTCCCATCTAAATACTAACCAGACCCTGCTTAGTTTCCAAAATCAGGTGAAACCATATGTACTAGGATCTCCTTTTATTTTTATGCCCATAGGCAGAGATCAAATAGCAACCCAGGAGCAGGGTTTCTTGGTATAGTGGTAGTAGGTGGCATTCAGAACGGTATGGTATGGTACATAATTAAATTATGGAATTCAAAACCACAGAATATAATGGACCATCAATGTAGATGCTTCTAAAAGGAGAATTGGACTAATGAGGCATAATGTTGCCAATAGCTATTAGTCATGTTGGCTATATGCTACATCTGGAAACAGAGGCACCATGCATTATGTTACCAAGCATGTGTCTACCACATTTGATAACAACTACAGAATAAGTCTACTGCACTTGTGTCCTAATCATGGGCCTTCACAAAAGTACTATCTGGGTATCGTGGGAAACAGGATACTGCAATTTAGCGGCCTTAGGTTCTCCTCATATTTTTTATGCTCATAGGCAGAAATCAAATAGCAACCCAGGAGTAGGTTTTCTTACCTGTTATGGAACTTCCTGCCTAAGCATGTTCTCATGGCTGTTCTTTTCAGGTGTCCTTTTGTTTTCTCAGTCATTTTAACTATATTTTAAATAGTGGGAAAATGCTGTGGACATTAAGCTTTTGCCACTGTTTTAATTGATATTTTAGCTGTGTGATTTGTTTATTGATTTTAATTGCTTATTGTATACCTTATTATTTTGCTATGTTAATCTTCACTGTAAACCACCTGAGGATAAATATGAAAGGTGTTACATAAATTCCTTAAATGAATACAATTGATTAAATTATTTCTGTGTATCCATATACAAAGCAGCTGGCTTTGGCTATCTGGTCTGCATGCATAGCATCTCATTTAACATTCTGAGCCAGAGATGTTCCTGGGAAAATGATAGCCGATTCATAAAACAGCTGGGCATTAGGAGCCAGACAAATGCACATGCCAAACCAATTATGAGTTTAAGCAACATCTCTAGGGGGGGAAAAACATTATTGGGAGGCTGGTGGTTCGCTACACTGATCCACAGGTTCTGTGACATTATGAATCTCTCTCCTTTCCCCAAAACAACAATTTTGCAATTTTTCAAAAATGATTGTGCATTCTGACCCACATTTCATAAATAGACAAAAGAACACAGTGACCATAAGGGATTGCACTATAACAAGCTCAGCTTAACATTACTGTTTCACATTCAAATTTATGTCTGTAAAATGGTGTAGAGACCATACATTGAGTACGCTGTGTCTGATAATTCACTGGCTTTGGAATCTGCTTCAGCTTTGATACCTCTTGCCTGTTCTGACATGGGATGGAAGCCAGATTGCCTACATGTGTAATTTTTATCATCTAATCACAACAGCTGGAATGGAACCAGTTAGAACAGGGGTCGGGAACCGATGGCCTGCAGGCCACACCCGGCCCACCACCCCCCACCAGCCAGCCCCCATTGACCCCCGCCGCTACCGTGTGCACCACTGCCCCGCCGCTGCCACGCATGCATCGTGGCCGCCATTTTGTTTGCCAAATGGCAGCCGTGACTCGTTTGCACATGCACAGTACTCCAGCGCATGCACAAACGAGCTGCGACCACCATTTTGTTTCCCAAAATGGCAGCTGTGACTCGTTTGTGCATGTGTAGGAGTACTGCGCATGCATAAACGAGCCACGGCTGCCATTTTGGCAAACAGAATGGCGGCAACGGTGGCGGGGGTTGGCAGGGGAAGTGCGTGCATGCACAGTGAACATAAGACCACAGGAATCTGCCCCCCCCCCCGGCCTGGCAGAAGACCTGGGGACTAGCGACCAGCCCCAGGTAAAAAAACCTTGCCAACCCTTGAGTTAGAACCTCAAATTGCTGGTCCTTCAGCTGAATCAATGGAGTAACCCTGCTTCCAAATGATTGGTGGATAACAGTTGTGAGAAAGGCAAAACCTACTGAAGCTAGTTTCTTAGTAGAACTGATGATGGCCCTATTTTACTTCAGCCCTGCAACCCACCAAGTCAAACATAGGATGTTACCACACGGGGGCAAATCTGCTGGTTAATCCACACAAAATCCAGA